TGCTTTATTTCCTCTGGGAATTTCAGTGCCAAGTGTCTGTAGCTTTTCTAGGAGCTTCTTTGGCTGGCACTATGTTTGTGGATGACATGGTATTATTTCCTGGTTTTTGTGCTGAGTCTCGGACTCCACAAAATTGACCTTTGATGTTTTCTCTTCATTGTTTTCTCTTTACTTTGATGTTTACTCGTTTTGAGGGTAGGTTCTGTGCATTTCTGGAGGGAACAGCAGGACCCCCTTTGAAACTGATCTTTATCTAGAGTACAGGTAATAAGGGCTGTGTGCAAGAACCTCTAGAGCAGCGGGATAGTGTGGTGTGATCCAAGGCATACCCAGATCATTTCCCTCCCAGCTAATGACTAGAACGCCACAGCTGTGGGCTTCAGCTATACTAAGTTAGATCGTGGTCCAGGCTCCCACCTCCCTTCCCACAGGAACTTGCAGGCTTCTGGTTATCTATTTTTTGCAGACCTGGGCTGGCAAAATGCACTTACTATAGTTTCTCCTTGACTTTCTTGATCATTTCTCAGTACAGCGCTTTTTTAAAAAAAGATCCTTCCTGGACTAGTGAGAAAGTTAGGCTATTCTGCTTCTACTTACTCCACCATCTTTTCTACATTTTTTCTTTTTTTTCTTAATTTATTTTTAGCTTTCAACATTCACTTCCATATGCTTTTGAGTTTTAAATTTTCTCCCCCTCTCTTTCCACCACCTTCCCCCACTGCGTTGCAATCTGATATAGGTTCTACATATACATTCCTACCAAACATTTTTTTGTTTCTTTGTTTGTTTGGTGAGGCAATGGGAGTTAAGTGACTTGCCCAGGGTCACACAGCTAGTAAGTGTCAAGTGTCTGAGGCTGGATTTGAACTCAGGTCTTCCTGACTACAAGGCTGAAGCTCTATCCACTGCGCCACCCACCTGCTCCCTATTAAACATATTTTCACATTAGTCATGTTGTAAAGAAGAATTAAAACCAAGAGGAAGAACCACAAGAAAGAAGAAACAAAACAAAAGAAAAAAAACAGCAAATAGTATGCTTTGATCTGCATTCAAACTCCATAGTTCTTTCTCTGGATGTGCACAGCATTTTTCATGATGAGACATTTGGAGATGTCTTAGATCCTTGTATTGCTTAGAAGAGCTAAGTGTATCAAAGCTGGTCATTCCACAACGTGACTGTTACTGTGTACAACGTTCTCCTCGTTCTGCTCACTTCACTCAGCATCAGAAAATACAAGTCTTTCCAGGTTTTCCTGAAGTCTGCCTGCTCATCATTTCTTTTTTTTTTCACATTTTTTAAAATTAATTTATTTTGCTTTATCAACATTCATTTCCATAAGCTTTTCAGGTTTAAATTTTTCTCCCCATCTCTCCCCACCTCCCTCCCAAGACAGCAAGAAAGCCTATCTGATATAGGCTATACATATACATTTCTATTAAACATATTTTCACATTAGTGATGTAAGTAACAATTAGAACCAATAGGAGGAACACCAGAAAGAGGAAATAAAACATAACAGAAGAAAAAAATAGCAAATAGCATGCTTCAATCTACATTCAAACTCCATAGTTCTTTCTTTGGATGTGGATAGCATTTTCTATCATGAGGCCTTTGGAGATGTCTTAGATCCCTTGTATTGCTGAGAAGGGTTAAGTCTGTCAATATTAGTCATCACATAACATGGCTGTTACTGTGTACAACGTTCTCCTGGTACTGCTCACTTCACTCAGCATCAGACCATACAAGTCTTTCCAGGTTTTTCTGAAGTCTGCTTGCTCATCATTTCTTATACTACAACAGTATTCCATTACATTCACATACCACAACTTGTTCAGCCATTCCCCAATTCCTTGCCACCACAAAAAGAACTGCTATAAATATTTTTGTACATGTGGGTCTTTTTCCCATTTGTACGATCTCTCTGGGATGCAGCCCTAGAAGTGCTATTGCTGGATCAAAGGGTATGTACATTTTTACAGCCCTTTGGGCTATAAATTGCTCTCCAAAATGGTTGGATCAGTTCACAACTCCACCAACAATGCATTAGTGTTCCAATTTTCCCACATCTTCTCCAACATTTATCATTTTCCTGTTTTGTCAAGCTGGCCAATCTGATAGGTGTGATGTGGTACCTCAGAGTTGTTTTGATTTGCATTTCTCTAATCAATAGTGATTTACAGCATTTTTTCATTTGACTACAGATGGCTTTAATTTTTCTTCATCTGAAAACTGCCTGTTCATATCCTTTGACCATTTAGCAACTGGGGAATGACTTGTATTCTTATAAATTTGACTTAATTCTCTATATAGTTTAGAAATGAGGCCCTTACCAGAGACACTGGTTGTAAAAATTCTTTCCCAGTTTTCTGCTTCCCTCCTAATCCTGGTTGCATTGGCTTTGTCTGTGCAAAAACCTTTTAATTTAATGTAATCAAAATTATCAACTTTGCATTTTATAATGTTCTCTATCTTCTGTTTGGTCATGAATTCTTCTGTTCTCCATAAATCTGATAGGTAAACTATTCCTTGCTCTCCCAATCTGCTTACAGCATCAGCCTTTAAAGCTAAATCGTGTACTCATTTTGACTTTATTTTGGTATATGGTGTGAGATTTGGGTCTATGCCTAGTTTCTGCCGTACTCTTTTCCAACTTTCCCAGCAGTTTTTGTCAAATAGTGAGTTCTTATTCCAGAAGCTAGGGTCTCTGGGTTTATCAAACAGTAGATTACTATAGTCATTGACTACTGTGTCTTGTGTATCTAACCTATTCCACTGATCCACCACTCTATTTCTTAGCCAGTACCAAGTAGTTTTGATGCTTTATAATACAATTTATGACCTGGTATGGCTAGACCACCTTCCCTAGCATTTCTTTTCATTAGTTCCCTTGATATTATGGACCTTTTGTTCTTCCAGAAAAATCTTTTTATTATGTTTTCTAGTTCTATAAAATAATGTTTTGGTAGTTTGATTAGTATGGCAATGAATAAATAAATTAACTTAGGTAGAATTGTCATTTTTATTATATTAGCTTGGCCTACCCATGAGCAACTGATGTTTTTCCAATTATTTACATCTGATTTTATTTGTGTGACAAGTGTTCTGTAATTGTGTTCATATAGTTCCTGGGCTTATTTCGGCAGGTAGACTCCTAAATATTTTATGATGTCTACAGTAACTTCAAATGGAATTTCTCTTTCTATCTCTTGCTGTTGGGCTTTCTGGATAACATATAGAAATGCCGATGATTTATGTGGGTTTATTTTATGGCCTGCAACTTTGCTAAAGTTTTTTATTATTTCAAGTAGTTTTCTACTTGATTCTCTAAGATTCTCTAAGTATATCATCTGCAAAGAATGATAGTTTTGTTTCTTCTTTGCCTATTTTAATACCTTCAATTTCTTTTTTCTTCTCTTACTGCTAAAGCTAATGTTTCTATGAAAAAACTGTGGTGATAATGGACATCCTTATTTCACCCCTAATCTTACTGGAAATGCTTCTAGCTTATCTCCATTACATATAATGCTTGCTGGGGGTTTTAGATAGATGCTACTTATCATTTCAAGGAAGATTCCATTTATTCCTATGGCCTCTAGTGTTTTTGGTGTTGTATTTTGTCAAAAGCTTTTTCTGCATCTATTGAGATGATCATGTGGTTTCTAAATGGTTTTGGTGTTGATATGATCAATGATGCTGATAGTTTTCCCAATATTGAAACAGCCCTGCGTTCCTGGTATAAATCCAACCTGGTCATAGTGTATTATACTCGCGATAAGTTGCTGTAATCTTTTTACTACTATTTTACATAAAATTTTTGCATCTATATTCATTAGTGAAATTGGTCTATAATTTTCTTTCTCTGTTTTGACTCTTTCTAGTTTAGGTATCAGCACCATATCTGTATCATAAAAAGAATTTGGCAGGACTCCTTCTTCACCTATTTTCCCAAATAGTCTATATAGTATTAGAATTAATTGTTCTTTAAATGTTTGATAGAATTGGCTTGTAAATCCACCTGGCCCTGGATATATTTTCCTAGAGAGTTCTCTCACTCCATCATCTTAAAGAGTCCTTCAACACAACTAGGCCTTACTAGCTTTGAGGTCAATACTATATCCTTTATAAAATACTATCTCTCAAAGAAATGGGAATTAAAATAACTTCACATTACTATTACACAGCTCTTATACGAGCAAAAGAAAAATCAATGTGCTGGGAACCCAGCATTAAAGAAGATAAGTAGAAAAAGGTAAAATCATTCACTGCTGATGACACTGTATATAGATTCAATATTTCCTCAGATCTATACAACATCATTATGTACTAAGAGTTACATAACTGTTCATACCTTTTGGTACTTATTATACTTAAGGGAATATGCACCAAGAAAGAAATCAAGAAATCTAAAGTACATAATCACTTAATGTTTGAAGAATAAAACAAATATAACTCTACAAAGAATAAGAGAATTTAAGATTTGGAAGGACTCCTAAGAGATCAACTAGTCAAATCGTCTTACTTCACAGATGAGGAATCTAGAGCTGAGAGGTTAAATGAGTCATTCAAAGACACAAATCTACTAAATGGCAAAGCTGAAAATAACCTGGCTCCTTATCCTTTTGCTATACCACACTGTTTTTCACAAGATATATCATGGTTTTCAACAGTCCCTCTCAAAATACATGTTCTCATAAATCTCTAAGGTTAATTTTTCGATTAAAAAATATAAAACTTTAAAATGTACTGGGCTACCAGAGTTTTATTTAACTTTCTACCTAGTATGAAAATTACACATACTTTAAGAATAGTTTATGAAACTGACAACATGGAATACAAAGAACGAATTAAGTATTCTACCATGGAAGCATTACACACAGCACTCACTTACAAAATGTTTGTTTGCTGTGTCACACAACCTTCATCTTCCAAATTTAACAACTATAGCAGAACATGCCCCAGCAGAAAACTATGACACTAATAAACAGAAAGCGTTACTTACGATAAAAGAAAGGAATGAACTCCACTGTGAGAGAGGCTGGTCTGTATTTCTGTCTGCTCTTTTCCACAGAACTAAGGCTCTTTCTGTATTTAAACATAAATTTTAAAAAGACACCACATGAAGAACAACTAGAGAATACACAAACATACACCAAGATTTTTCTGAATAAATCAAAACAACAATGAAAGCTTAAAATATATACTTAGGGTTTTATTTAGATTCTGAATAATAAATCGATATGATGCGCTTTATCTAGAATAGGATCAATATCAATACGTATTTTACTGCTTTGAAAGAATTTGTTTTAACAATTGCAAAGCATCTTTTATTCACAAAAACAAGACATCTAAGTTTCTTTCCAATTTAATATTGAGAATGAACTTTATTATGAAATTCTAACTCATAAAGGAAATTAATTAGTGTTGCAGTTCTAACAATTTAACTGAAAAGATTAAAAGTTCACATCATAATAATAATAATTTATCAATCTCCTTAGGCTATTTGCCACCCTCATTCTCCAACCCTCCGGGCCTGATCCAGCATGTTCCTGAAGTCTCAAGTATTTGCAGTCACAAGAATTAGAAACTAGAATAGATTAGGCCTAGAGATGATGGCTATGGTCACACATCTTTTTGACCTCTAATCTTGGACTCCTGGATTTCAAGTATCTAAAGGTTCCTAGCCTCTAGACTTCACAATAGAATACACCCAATGAGAACGGTAGAGCTCCTGTAGACTGGAAGAAAGTCTGCCAGAATGGCCAGGCTTGCCAGATATGATATCAGAGACCAGTCTCCCACCTCCCACATTTCCAAGACTATGCTTAGCAATGGAATATTAAAAGCAGATAAAGAAGAATCTAGAAATATCACTTAGAACAGTAGTGTGAAACTCAAAGAGAAGGGGATCTTGCAGCAAAATGACTTAGAAAACCACAAATCAATGTGATCTTTGTTGCACTATATTTTTATTTATTTTGTTAAACATTTCCCAATTATACTTTAATCTAGTTTGGGCTGGAATTTTTGAGGAGTCTTCCCAAGGACTCTGACACCTCTGACTTGGAACATATATAGAAAACAGAAAACACAGGACTATCTATACTCTCCTACGTATTTTAGGTCCAATTAGAGAATTACAGAATAATTCCATGTGGCCATTTGTGAAGTCCTGTCTAGTCTGGTATCGTGAAATTAATACAGCTTCAGAGAAATACAAGATTTCCTTTTGGTCTATCATTTCAAAATTTCAAATTCTGTCAATTGAGGGAAAAAAATCCTTTTAAATTAAATTCCTTTTAAGTTACCAGGTAACAAAGATAGTGAGAATTAAAATCCATTTAGAAGAGCTAAAAGTAGGTAAAGAATTGTAAGTCTATTTACATTTTACAAAGTTATGTAAATTAATGACAGACCATTAACAAATTTAATATTCTAATTCCTTCATAACATGTGTGCTACCAAAAGCAATAATGAACATCCTCAGCTGATAAGTAAAAAGAAAATGTACTTCTATAGTCTGTGACACATAATTCATCCTAAACTACCTATATCAGATATAACAGACAGATATAAATAAGAATTCTTTTAATTATACTACTTAGCAGATAATCTAGCAACACAAATCAAAAAGGAATAGGAAAAAATTTCAAATACATCCTTAGATGTAATAAAGCAATATGAAAGGATAAATTTGAACTGAAAACAATTTCAAATCCAAGTTCTCACATTTAGTGCTGTGTGACCACAAGCAAATTACTTATCCTCTGGGCATGTTTCCTTATCTGAAAACAAGGATAATAATATTTGCTCTACCAATGACGCAGAGATTCTGTGAGGAAAGTACTTTTGTAAATCTCCAAGTGCTATATGAATAAATATTTGTCAAATGCTTTGAAAGCTGGTACTGAGCCTATTTAATTTTTTTTTTTGCCATCACCACAACAGTATACACTTACGTGTTTAATAAACACTATTTTATGGCTATCCCAGGTCTAGGTAAATAACAAGTGCTTAAAAAATTGATAACATATTATAAAATAATTGACTGATATTAAAAAAGATCATACACCTTTTAACTTTCTCTCAGTCTCCCAAAATCTCAGTGGGAGGGAGGTTACTATTATATTATATTATATTATATTATATTATATTATATTATATTATATTATATTATATATTATATTATATTATTAACTTTAACTTAATGTTATCCTACATCCAAGATCCACCATCCTAGGAAACAGGCAAAATGGAAGAATTTCTAAATCTGTTTAGGATTCTGAAAATAAAGGCAACACTGCTACTAAATTGAAGCCAGTCTGAATGATGCCTAAGTTTCACTTTGGCATAAGTGATACAATTTTAAAAGGCTCAAAATCTCACATTTTTCTTAAAGTTAGACTGGCATTATTTTCCTCGTCCTTCTGGCAAGCTGCTAACACCTAAGTTATTAGGAAAAAAGTAAAGAAGTGTTTCTGTACTTTCACTAAACCAAATTCTTGTAACTCTGCCCAGTTAACTTCAAAATCTGATTAAGAAATAAACGAGGTTGAAAAGTACCATAATTCTTTAAGTTACTCTTACCTAAACCATAAAGTTCTCAAAGCCCATGCTCTCATTCCATGACACACAATCGTCTTGATTTCTACATTTCATTTGCCTCTCCCATCTCCAATCCTCCTTCATTCCTCTGTTTCAGAGATATAGCAGCACCCTCTCTTTCTACATAGTGTTTTAATCTTCCTTACTATTCATGGATTTACCTTTAATTGCCCTTGGATTTCAGTTTTTTCTGTCCCTCATTCCAAAATCTGTCATCCTCCTATTTACCTGTTTTCTTTTCACATGTTAGAAAATGTTCTCTTTCCTTCCAGTCTCTCAGTTTCTCTGTCTCTTACAGTTTTATATTAAACTGTCTCTCTCTAACTTTCTGTGAAGAAACCTTCATATGATGATCTATTTGAAAACTCGTTTGGTTTAATGGTGTTAAAATGTTTGGGAGAAAAATGTTTGACACCATTAAGAAACTCTGGCATAAACTGAGTGGGAAAGAAATACCCACCAGCTCAGAGAAAGTAACCAATGAAGTGAATTAAAAGAAGGGAAAAAATTAAAATGCATTTTTGTCTCCATTTTAGGAGACTCTATTAAGGGTTTGTTGGGAACCATGTGGCAGAATTGTGTGAAAGGGCTAAGCACACTGAGCAGCTGACCAAGCATGGCCTTGATAGAGCAGACAGACTAGCGAGTGAAGAAAATTCGAGGTAGATATCAGTTTCTCCTTAGGAGGTGACCAAAATAACTCCCAAGAGCCATGGAAAAACCCTGGAACAATCTCTCAGAAGTATAAAAGAAAGCAAACATGTAAGGGGAGACAGATAAGCACTAAGCTTAACAAAGGGAGCACTTAAGTGGTAACTAGAAGTTTATTTTTCATGACTTACTCTAAGAAAAAGGACAATACTTAAGAGTTCAGGACTTGGAATCAGGAAGACGGGTTAAAGTCACCCCTCCAACACTTCCTAGTTGTGTGACCATGGGCAAGTCATATACCTTCTCTTAGTCTCAGGTAACTCTCTAAGACTTTAAATTATAGGCAGGTGAATAGCTATATCATTATAAATTTAATCACCTTAAAACAGCTTCGTGCCAACGACTTATTGTCTCCAACACTGTGGCCCAAAATTTTAGTCTGTGGAACTTGTATCTATAGTTTTCCAACTGTTTTCCCAGAGAATAGAAGGCATTACTACCATATTCTCAAGTTAAGCGAAATAACACACTAGAATGTATGACACAATGTGACATACCCTGCAATTCTATGCCTCCAGTTTCGATATGGGTCATACAAACTCTCACAAAAAGCCAGTGCATGTCTTACAAATTCTTCAATAGAACTCTGATCCGCCACGTCTTTCTCTTTTGTTTTGCTTTTTAGCTAAGAAAAAATAATTAAATATCAAGACTTTAATTTGACAAACATTATATATTAAACACAGTTACATAGGCTTAGCTATAGAACATTAACAAAATGTTCATTTATTAATTCAAATAAGCCTAATTTTCTAATATAAACAGAATATATTTCTATCAAGGTAAATTAGGTTCATTTGATTACTCATCTAAACTGAACAGACTCCTAAAAATTGTGAATTTTCCATATACAGCATTTAAAGTAAATGGTCAAAATCTTTTGAATAAATAATTCCCTTATTAGGATACATGATAAGTGAATCATTGGTCAAGAATTCTCTGGCATATTTTAATATGCAAACTTCTCTAACAGTATTGTTTTTTTAAAATTAAAATTGGTCCTTTAATTCTAATAAATCATATTAATAAATGCTTGTTTTATATATACACATTAAAAAAAAAATAGAGCTGAACATACTCTTATAATTCTCTTCAAAATTATTAAGCCTCTGAAAACATTTTACTCTATATACTATATGACAAAAGCAAATGCAAACAATCTGTTTTCTCCCATTACATTTTTAAGGGAATGTTAGTTCACACCTACTTGCTGAATATAGAGTGTTGTCATGGTGATAACATGATTAATGTAGGAACAAGTCCCAATTTCTTCCACATTAGACAGGTTTCTGTAAGAAAATAAGAATTATAGTAATTTATATGGAAATACAATAATAAAATATAAAAGCTGTATATAAGCATTAGACCAAAAAAAAAGCTTATCTAGCTTAATTTTTTAAAATTTAAGCAATGCAAAAATTACACAAGATCAACCAATAAATTTAAAAATGAGGCTCTGAATAAAAACAGAGTTCAAACAGTATTTGAACCTTATAATGATAACCACAGGAAAACTTAGACTTCAAGTGCTAAAGAGGCAGCATCAGCTTAGGAGCCAGGAGACTGGAGTGTCATCATGGCTTTGTTCTCACTGAGTAGTGTAACCATGACTAACTCACTTTCCCTTTTTATATACCTCAGTTTCCTCATGTGTAAAATAAGGGAACAGATAGGTTGTACAAGAAAATAAATTTGGAATTATATGAGAAAAGTCCTTGAAACATTGATATGATTCACTCCCACAATCCCAGTATCAAGTATATTCTCCAAAGAGATTAAAAAAAAAAAAGGACTCATGTACATAAAAATATTCATAGCAAAAAAAGCTGGAAACAAAGTTTTTGGGGGAATGGAGGAACAAACTGTAGCATATGAATGTAATGGAATATTTTTATATCCACAAGCAATGATAAATTCAGAGAAACATAGGAAAATTATGAACTGATGCAGAGTGAAGGGAACAAAACCATCAACAAAACCAACAAAACCGTATCTACAGTGATTATAATAATATAAATTAAACAACATTAAATGCAATGATTAAATCTGGCACCAGAGAACAGATTATGAAACACAGTTCATTCACCTTAGTAGATGGGGAACTATGGGAGTAGAATGTTGCATACAATGTCAAAAACATTCACTTTGATCAGTTTTTTTTTTTAGTATATCAGGAAATGGCGCAAAAATGGTGTAAAAATTTAAAGGTATTAAATCTTTTTCAAAATAAAGTAGAATAATTGAACTAGTGCATATTGAATGTTACTGTCAACTCCAATATTCCATTATTCTATAATTCAATTCTTCTGTGCTCCTTAAGAAAACAGATTTTGAAGTTCCCTGAGAGGAGGTACTTCTATTCTTCTATTTCATATATTCTCTGTAGGCACCTAACAAAGTCCCTTATTATAACGTGAATTTTTCTATTTTCAGCAAGACTAATTCAGAAACAATCCATGAGAGAATTAGAAGCAATTACTTTAAAGCACAGGAGAGAGTTTTAAGTTAAACATTATAGAAACAATTCTACATCCCTAAAATTTCTATTTTACTTTACCATATATTTGGCATTTACTAATTAACTTTTTTAAGTTATGTAGCTTATCTCAATTCATTTGTTCACTCATTCATTTATTTGACATGCTTTTATTAAACACCTAAGAGGTGCCAGACACTGCTGGCAATGGGGATACAGAGACATTTAAAAAAAAAAACAGGAAGCAACATATACACACAGAAACAAAAAATGTACTCTAAGTAAATGCAAATTAATTAGGAGGAGCACTGGCAACTGGAAGGGGAGAAGAGATCAGAAAAGGCTTTAAATAAAAGGTGAGGTGAACTGCTGGAGGGGAGAAAGGGAGAACATTCCAGGCATGGATAGGAGAGAGCTTCTGCAAATGGCCTGAAGGGAAGAAATGGACTGTCAGTTACCCAAAAGGAATAAGAAACTACTCTGGTCAGAAAATAGAGTATGTTATTGTATAAAATTGTAAAGGTAGGCTACTCAAATTGAGTACTTTAAAACCTTGAGTTAAAAGATTATTTTACTCTAGAAGGAACAGGGAACCACATAAGCAAGGAGGTGACATAGTTGGATCTACACTTTAGAAGTATTAATGTGGCAGACAAGTGGAAGATATACTAAATAGGGGAGAAACTCAAAGCAAAGGGACCAATTAGGAGCTTGGGAGTCCAGAGGAAAGAAGGGAAGGGCCTGAACTAGGATAAGAGCCCAACTGGACTGTACGGTCTTTGAAGGGAGAGCTTACTATATCTTTTATCACTTTATATCAACTAAAGCAGACATATGAAAGAATGCTCCAAATCCCAATAGGAAAAATGCACATAAAAACAAATAACCCTAAGGTTGTCAACAAACTGAGAAAGATGACAAAGATGGAACACTAGTATATTGTTACTGAAGCTACAAATTTGTCCAACCATTATAGAAAGCAGTTTGGAATTACTCAAAGGTGACTTGACCAAGGTTACACAACTAAATTGAGATTAGAACTCGGGTCTTTCTGACTACAAGTCTAACACTCTACCCACTGCACCTCAAGCTAGGCTCCAGAGAAGAAATATAAAAAGACATCTTCCCTGGCTTTTGTGAAGAGGTGGGAGACCACAGATGTGGAACCCTACATATACTATCAGAATTTTTCGATATATTGGTTAGTTATGCTGATCTATTTTTTCCCCTTATTACAAGGGATGGTACTCTGGAAGGAGGTAGTTGAGACATAGTGGGAGATGTAAATGATGTTTTAAAAAAGATACCAATAAAATTTATTTTTAAAAATTAGAGTCTAACATGATACAATGAAATTGTCAGATCTTTTTCTTAAAATACTGTAGGCATAAATTACCACCCATCTACATTATTATAACGACCTCTTTATAGGCCTGGACACCTCCATATTCTCCCCCACCCCAGTCCAACTTGATATGGCAATCAGAATCATCTAGTTTCTTCTCGGTTTTTTGTTTCACATGTAGGAACATGCATCTCAACTCTCCTACTCTCTAAACTCTTTTCCCTTTCAGTCCTTCTCACTTTTATTTTCTAGCCTTCTGGTCTTTTATGTAAAGCTGTCTGTTAGTGAGGAAAATTCAATATTGTTTCATTAAACCTATCATTGTCAACTTATCGTGTCATTTCTCTGCTAAAAGAAATCATCAATGGTTTTCTATTCATTTCTTTGGTTAGGTTCAAACTACTCTGCCTAGTTTGCAAGGCCCTCCACAATCTATCCTACCTTTCCAACCTGATTTATTTTTCTTCTGCACATTCTATCTTGCAGCTAAAATGGACAACTCTCTGTCAGAAATGCAATGAGTTCTCAAATTAAAGTCTAAAAACAGTTAACTGCCTCACCCAAGATCTAAGTAGTAAATAACAACTCCAGGATTCAACCCAAGTTCTTCTGACTCCAAATCTAGTATCTTTTGTACCAGACCCTACTGCTGCCCCCCCAAATCTAACTTAACAAAAACCCCTCAGAAAATACAGGGTTTCGATTGGAGGAAAATATGCTGGGCATGGTCAAACTTAACCGGAAATGGATTGTTCCTAGCTGCACATGGACTTAGAAAAACCACAAGTTATCATTATTTCTGTTGTACTGTATTCTTATTTTGTTAAAAATTTCCTAATTACATTTTACTCTGGTTCCAGTTTTATCCATAAGTTTGACATGGGTAGTCTAAACAATGTAGAGAAGAGTCAGATCGTTAATTCCTTTTCTCTTGCTCTGTATACAATATTTTTAATATTACAATATTTCTAAGATTGCATTAGCGGCTTCGGTAGTCACATTATGCTGTTAAAACTCATATTAACCATTCAAATACAGCTGGTAAGCAATCACTGGGTGGCTTTCAAAAATTAACATTAGCAACTAGATTATAAATCTACAAAAGTACTACTGCTTAGTTTATTTTTTTTTAGACTCAAATCAACTGAAAAATACACAATAAGTGAATTATCATTTAGACAGTATTATCATGACAAATGGGCAGCTAGGTGACACAGTAGATAAAGCACTGGCCCTAGAATCAGGAAGACCTGAGTTCAAATGTGACCTCAGCCACTGACTAGCTGTGTGACCCTGAACAAGTCACTTAATCCTGTTTGCCTCAATTTCCTCATCTGAAAAATAAGCTGGAGAAGGAAATGGCAAACCACTCCATTATCTTTGTCAAGAAAACCACAACTGGGTCATGAAGAGTTGGACATGACTTAAATGACTAAACAACAAATCATGACAATAGGAGGTGATTGACTCATGCCTAAATGTCAAATACCTGCAAAGGATTATGAAGAACTTGACAAGGAGAACTGACAAAGCCTGCTGTTGCTCCTCTAATCCATCTGCCATTTTTTGCACACATTGTAGTAGCTGGCTTCTTAGAACCTGAAGAATATTATCAGGAAGAAGAGATATTCCAGGAGGCACGTCATCCACTCTATAATGCAAGGTGGGGGAAAAAAAAGAAAGATCTTTAAGGGTTAATGTGCAATCCATGAGGTTTTGGGTCAGGTCCTAGGAAAGCTTTCTGATTCTTCCCAGGCATTATACCTTCATAAATGGTAGCTGCCACAAGGTGATCCTGCATTAGAATAGCATGGACACTGACAGCAGACTTACTTCCTTGCATCAGATTGCATGCTGTCTTGGGAAGGAGAAAGGGAAGGGAGGGAGAAAAAATTTGGAACTCAAAAATCTTCTAAAAGTGAATGTTAAAAACTATCTTTACATGTAATTGGAAAAAAATGAAATACTATTAAGTGAGAAAAAAAACATTAAAAAAAATTCATGCTATTATTTCAATTATGAAATAAGAGGGGGTAAAAAAATCTCCCAATAGACTTAAGTTGACAATTACTAGGTAGGCACTTGGGACAATGGATAACATCTTGCATCATCATTTCAGAATTCTGTAGTACTTTTTTTTCAACTACAAATTCCAAGTATGCTCAATTCTCTGCTCCTTGAACTAAAATGCCAGAGTTTCTGTCATGCCTTGGGATTTCCTGACTCCCATTCAGAGTTTATAGAGTTTTTCTCCTTTCCTTTTGATTGTGGTATTTACGGTGTTTAATTTACCAAGATTATACATTTGCTGTTATATATTTATCAACTGTTGACATACTGCTACTAATTAAAATAATCTTTAATTAGAAAGGGTTGAAAACATTATTTTTTTAAATAAGGGAATTATTTCTAAAGATAGGATTCTGACACTCAGATTCCTTTTTGACACCTCATGAAGACCAGTATATTTCTACATACCGAGTAGGCAGCTTCTCAAAGTCCACATCTAAGAATTGCTCATAGCTAGAAACAAAACTTTCCAACCAAAGCTTTAGGTAGTCTGGGTCTTTCTGAAAAAGGAAAATTATCATATTAAGGATGCTTTTTTAAGAAATACATAGTTAAACTCTACCTATGCTATGATCTCTAATATTCTTTCCAGCTCTATCTCCTTCATTTTACAACTGAAGTAACTGATATCCAAAGTATGTTGCAAATTTGAAAAGCAGAATGTACAATCCATTACTAAGATTTAGATAGACATGTGATTTTTGAACTTTTATTTTTCAATGATCAAGTATTTTCTCTCCCTTCCACATCCTTCCCAGACAAGTGAGTAAAAGAAAGAGAAAGGAGAACCCTTGCCATATGCATAATCAAGCAAAACAAATCCCCATAAAGGTAATGTCTAAAAATGTATGACTCTAGCAGCTCTTTTTGTGGTGGCAAAGAATTGGAAATTGAGAGGATGCCCATCAATTGGGGAATGGCTGAGCAAGTTGTGGTATATGAATATAATGGAATACTATTGTGCTATAAGAAATAATGACTTCAGAAAAACCTGGAAAGACTTGTATGGTCTGATGCTGAGTGAAATGAGCAGAACGAAGAGAACGTTGTACACAATAACAGCCACATTGTGCGACGACTAATACTGATAAACTTAATCCTTCTCAGCAATACAAGGATCTAAGACATCTCCAGAGGCCTTGGGATGGAAAATGCTATCCACATCCAAAGAAAGAACTATGAAAGTTGAATTGCTATTTTTTTCTCTTCTGTTGAGTTTTGTTTCCTCTGTCTGATGGTTCCTCCTACTGGTTTTAATTTTTACTTACGACACCACTAATGTGAAAATATGTTTAATAGGAATGTAAATGTATAGCCTATATCAGACAGTGCTCCATCTTGGGGAGGAAGGGGGAGAAAAATTTTAGACTCAAAAGCATATGGAAGTGATTATTGATAAATCAAAATAAATTAACAAAAATTTTTAAAAAGACAACAAAAATAAAAATTAAAAAAAATGTATGACTCCTTCTGCATCTTGAATATATCTTGAATATGTCAGGAGGTATTTAGCAAGCTTCATCATTGGTACTCCGGAATCATGATCAGTCGTTGTGTTATCAGTATTAAATCTTTCAAAGTTGTTTTTAATTACAATGTTATTATTGTATAAATTGTTCTCCTAGTTCTATTTACATCATTATAAATGACAAATCTTGTCAGATTTCTCTAAAACTGTCCCTTTCAACATTTCTTATGACACAACAGTATTCCATTACATTCATATACTAGAATTTGTTCAGCCACTGATCAATTGATGGATACCCCAACAGTTTCCAATTCTACAAAATACAACATACAAAAATAACTACTGTAAACTTTTTTGTAACATAAAAGTCATTTTCCACTTTCTTTACAGAATTTTTTTAATGTACAATGATATATGTATAATTATAATCTAAAGTAATGTATAATTATAATCTAAAGTAATGCTACTATCCCTCTCCAAGCAGAGTTCGAATAAGTTAAAAATTCTTACAACTATGAGTGATAGTGCCATTTCAATCTTATACATGAGTTATTAAATTCATGCCTGTGTAAAACAGTTCTAAAGTTTATTCTATTAAATTATAGGTGAGTTACAGTCTGTGATGGTGGAAAAAATTCCTACAATGACAAAATTAAAGACCCCTAACAAACTGATATATTGACATAAAAAAACTATAACCAACTGAATTGCTGGGTGATATACCCAATCACTTGGTAGTCTATGTCACCTAAAGAAAGTAATAGGCTAGAATCATCCAGTTTACATTTTGGTTTCTTTTAGAGATAGGAGCTAATAGTTCTTGAACTCTGCTACCTGAATAACTCAAAAATAAAGTGCTAATTAAGAAGGTCCAGCAGCCAACCAGCAACATTAAAAGTCCATCGTGCCCAAGTAGCAAGACTCAGAATCTTATATATTTGACCAATTTACTTATTATTTGACAATATTACTAACAACTTGGTCTAATTTCAATTCCCAAAAGTTATCAGAATTCTCATACAGTTGTTCTATCATATAGTCAGGATGGAGAAAGGGTAATAGAAAAAAAAAGTATTGATATTGATTTATTCAGTATATTTACAATTAAGTAGTCAAAAAACTGTCCAAATTTAAGAGCCAGAGGCACCAATTTTCAGCTTTATAATTCTTTTATGCTGCACCAAAGAGTATATAATGTTAAATAATAGTGTTTTTGGAGAATCTCACAATGGTCTAACAACCCTGAAAACAGGACCCATAATGGCTTCTTACTGGCTCTAAAATAAGCTCTCCTGCTTAGTATCTGAAGCCTTTCAAAATCTGCTTCCAGACTGAGTTCAAATTCTACTTCAGCAGCTTAGCAGTTATGGGACTCTGGGCAAGTCATTTAACCTTTTGTCAATTTCTTCAACTGTAAAATGGGGTTAATAACACCTACTTCCCAAGACTGATTCAAGGATCGTAAAAGATAATATTTGTAAAGCACTTAGCATAGTGCCTGGCAAGTAACAGGTATTTAATAAATGTTCATTGGTTGACTGATATTATGGAAAGGATAGGACAACAACGTGCCTAGAAATCTTTCAGCTCAAGAAATCTTAAAGCATAAAAATGCCACTAACCATATTCAATATATAAATAATTACAAAAAGATTAAAATATTTTACAATTTGTATAAGGACTATGATATGTCCAAATAAACACCCATAAAAAGGATAGGATATGAAAAAAAAGGGAAAAATTAGAATCAAAGAATATCAGTTCATCCAAATGCCTCATTTTAAGACCTGAGAGATCATATAACATCTTGCCACAATAGCTGTACAATCCCACAAATAAGGAAAGCAATTTGGAATTACTTCCCCAAAGCTATTAAATTACGCATATCCTTTAATCCAGTAATACCAGATCCATACCCAAAGAGATCAAAGAAAGAGGAAAAAAAGCATCTATATACAAAAATATTTATAGCAACTTTTCATGGTGGCAAAGAATTGGAAACTGAAGGGGTTCTCATCAATTGGGGAATGACTGAACAAGTTACAGTTGAATGGGATGTCCCAGAGAAGACTCTCAGTGTAATTAAGGTAATGAGTTCAGAAGGTAGGATAGGGTTAAGAATAGATTTCTTAAGTTATTTTTTTAGTGCAATATATCAGTAGTTAAAATTTGTCTAGTGGTTAAGCCTTAACCTACTTTTTAATCTTATTCAAATGCGTCTTTGCTCCTAAAAAGAATCTGGCTCCAGAAAACCCTTAAAAGGTTCCTTATCTACTCCCCTTATCTCCCTTTGACAGGATCTTATTCAGATTGTCTTCCAGTTCCCAGCATTGTCTGTTCAATCCCTAAGACCTTCCAAAACAATTGTAAATTATCTTCCTAACGGCACATCTTTTATTGCTTCTTTGACATTATCTCAACAAACTAAGAAATATAGAGATGTATACTATGTCCTTTGTCCTATGTTAGAGTCTGGCTGGTGAGATTGTGAGCCGAGCTGTGAGGGAGGGGGAATTGAACCTTCACGGTTATATAAAACCGACTTCTACCTCTGCGGGGTCATTTCCTCTCATCAGAGCCATTGGTGCGAGGACACCCAAATCTCGAGATTTGAAATAATAATAATAATTATAGCTATAATAAATTAACTTTCTGTTTCTCCTTGGATACCTCTGTGTTTTGTTTTATTTTTAATTTGAGTGGCATCCCACACACAGTGAATGAAGATGATGGAATACTGTTGTCTTCTAAGAGATGATGAAGGGGGTAGTTGTAGAAAAACCTAGGAAAACTTGTATGAATTGATGCAAAGTGAAGTGGGTAAAATCAGAACAATTTAGACCATAACAGCAATACTGTAAAGATTTGAAAAAAAAACTTTTAAGGGCTTAGGAACTCCAATCAACATGATGACCCATCACAAATTCAAAGAAATCATGACGAAACATGCTAATAGCATCTAAATAAAGAAGTGAGAGACTGAGAGTGCAGATTGAAGTAGAGAGGGAACATGGCTAATTCAGGAATTTGTTTTGCTTGACTATAGATATTTATAATGGGTTTTTCTTTCCTTGTCTTATCAAAAGGTAGAAAGGGTGGTAGGGAAGAGAATTCAATACTGAAAATAAAGTAAAACTCAATTTTTAAAAAACACAAGTTAGTAGCAGTAATCTTGAATAAAAGGAGCATGCATTCCTTCCTGTCTGACTGTTATAAAGAATGTCAAATTTAAACTCCTTGAGAGCAAAGAATATTTCATTTATCTTTGTCTTAATAAATGCTTGCTTAATTTAACTGAATTTTCCTCCAATTGCTTTTCTACTCAAACCAATTGCACATGAAAATATTTCAGGACTCGGATTAGCCATTCCAGAAATTATTTTTAGCTGGGAAAAAAAGGATGTACCAGATAATATAAAAATTATAATTAAAATATCAATTTCTTCTCTCACATATTTCTTTATATTTTTTCACAATATAAGTCATTTACTAAATAAAATAAAAGCTTATGTTTCATCATTTAAGCCTCTTCAGTCTTTTAAGCTCTTTTTCATGCACTAGGTATACTAAAGAAAAGTAAATAAGTAAATGGAAGTGATAAGTGGGTCACAGTGGAATTAGAAAAGGAATGCAGAATTCCCCATTGGATAAAAGGTCAAAGAGTAAGAACAAACAGTTCTCAAAAGAATTTCAAACTATTAGCAACTGTATAAAATATTGCTCCAAATCACTAATATTAAGAGAGAGGCAAATCAAAACAACTCAGATTGCACCTCAGAAAGCAAACTAGCAAAGATGACAAGAGATGGAAATAGTCAATGTTGGACTTGCAGCAAGACAGACACACTAATAGACTGTCGGTGTAACTGTGAATTTTTAGGTCCAACCAATTTGGAAAGGAATTTAGATGACGTTTAAAAAGTGACTCAAATGACCATACTCTGATCCAGAGATTCCACTGCTAGGCATATACCACAAAGAAGTCAAAAGACAAAAATAAAGGTCCATTACATGCCAATACATTATCACAGA